CTAGCTCATATGAACATATGAGCACAAAGGCCCAGATTCAATCTGGGCTGATCTGACGGTCACGACCTTATTTCGTATTTGAATTTTAATGTTTTTTATATAAATCGAAAATAACTTGAAATTTTAGGAGTCCACTGTTCTAAAAAAGGCCCACCTAATAAAAATATTAAAAAATAATTCTCAATAATTAAATCGACCAAAATACCTCGTAGCTTTTCAGGCGTATTTTGGTCAATTTATTTATTATAAATATTTTTTTGATATTTTTATTAGATTATCCTATTTTGGAGAAAATTTATTCGGATTTGTAGAAAAAATATTAAAATTCAAATACGAAATGAAGTCAGGTTCGTCTGATCGGCCCAATTCAATCTGGGCCATTGGGCTCATATGAACTCATACATTCATATGAGCTAGTGGGCTAATCTCTGTATTTCCATATGAGCTAGTGTTCATATGAGCTAGTAGGCCATTTTCTATTGGCTGACACTGTAGCTATCAGCCCGTGGGCTGACATGATATTTTTTCTATATATATAAGGTTGCAACCTTAAAATGTAGAATCACATATGCAACTAAAAATTCCATCGGAAAAGGTTATTTACATGTTGAGAAACCCTCTAATTGATCATCTTGATATCGAAATGTATCCATATGAAAACAAAAAACAAAAAGATTTCGAGTCTCAGAAATAGTGCATCTTGCAACACATTATCTAGACTATCCATTTTCATGATTTTCATATGTTTATAGATCTACTTGATTTTAACCATTTTTAGAGTTTAATATTCTATAATGAGATATGAAAATAGTTTTCGGATAATTCTAAGAATTTATAACACCCACATTACATGTTATGATGACATTTTCAGGTGCGCCTTAATTGGATTGTTTAAGGTTACAACCTTATAGAAACCACACCCTATATATATATACCCCTTAAACTTTTCGGGGGTATTCACGTAAAATATTTTTTATATTTTTCATAGATCCACCTATTTTTGATGAACACACGCTCTAAATTTCAGATCATTCCGATTTGTAGAAAAAACAAATGAAAAATGAAACACCACCGGACAATCGTGACCGTGCGATGAACTTTGGACGGTGATGAGGGTAGGCGAAATCATTGTTCATTTTCGTCTATATTTGGTTTGTAGTATCTTCCACACACACACACACACATATATCACACACACACACACACACACACACACACACACACACACACACACATATATATAGGAAAATACTACGCAACGCCTATAGGTGAAAATGAACAGTGATCTTGCCTACCCCCATCACTGTCTAAAGTTTATCGCATGATCAAGGTTGTTTGATAGTATTTTATTTTTAATTATTTTTTTACAAATCAGAATGACTTGAAATTTCTAGAGTAAATTCATAAAAAATAGGAGAATATTTGAAAAATATACAAAAAATATTTTACATGAAATAAATTTACCAAAATACCCCTCAAAAAATGTTTGGGGTATTTTGGTAAATTTAATTTTTGCAAATAATTTTTTTATATTATTATTATATGCGCATCAGTAAGATATACATAGTCTCCAAATTTCAGGTCATTCTAATTTATAGAAAAAAATAAAAAATAAAATACTATCGGACAATCGTGACCGCATGATGAAACTTGGACGGTGATGAGGATAGGCAAAATTACTATTTATTTTCGCCTATAGGCATTAGAAATATTTTTCTATATATATATATATATATATATATATATATATATATATATATTATTTACTTCTTGTTACGTATAGTAGTATAATTACTA